ATGGGGTGGCATCCCTTAAACCCCACAAATAAAAAAAAAAAAAAATAAAAAAAAAAAAAAAAGCTGAAGTTGGTCGGGTGACCAAAAAAAAGTATTTTTGTAACTTTGTTCGCTGCTTCAGGGTAGCTTAAGCTGTGGTTCAGTTTCCCCCTCCTCCCCTCTGCTGTAGGTTTTAATAGCGATGGTCGTCGTGTTTCCATTACGCCACAAAGATTTGCACTAGGTGTGTGTCTGCGACTTTCTACCTACACTTAGTAAGATGTCACTGTAAGGTTGAGATGTTATGACGTGCCTTGTATCAGGAGATGTTGATACTGGCAGACATGTCCTCTATTAGTCACCCAACTGAGCACAGAGCCCTGAAACTGTAAAGTAGCCATAGAGATGAAACAGCTCTGCTGTCTAAAGATACTCTTTTTTTTGTTTTGTCTTCTTAAAATCTACCACTGTGTTTAGGTCAGGATGTCGGGACTAGTGATGATCCCTGCTTCAGAAAACCGTCCCTGTGAATTTGTCATTTGTTTACAATCTGCACTAATGAAACAAGTTTTTTTTTTTTTAATTTCCCCTCCCCATACACCGGGGCTGACGATAAGGGCTGCAGAATTGGGTGTATTAAGATGATGACAGTGGTGGATACAATTGTGAAAGTATAAATGTTGGAAAATCTCAGCCGCGTCGGCTCAAGCTGTTCAGTTCTCCCAGTCGTCTGGCTCATGACTCGCACCTGCACCAACGCTTTTCCTCTCAGTCTCGTCTTTCAAACACACTCGGTCGACCGGAGCGTGTATATACGGTGTACAGTTAAATGCAGATCTGAGTTCTGGGGGGAAAAATTTGAAATCTGTAAAATATTTAAATAAAGATAATATTTATTTATAATGTTTTGACTATATTTTGTTTACAAAAGTTGTTTGTTTGCTGGTATGTTTTTTTAGTAAACCTGCTGGCTGTTGCTGTGGATCAACAGGATAACATCAAATCCAGGAAACATTTTGTCGAACATCCTCCTACATTCCACAGGTGGCTGGTTTGCCAATACCGGCGGGTGTGGCAGCTTTATGCTAACATGTTACCACAGACAAAACTAAGAGCGGTTGCCATGTCTACGACATCAGGTATTGGAAAAGAAGCTTAGTAGAAACTGTTAATATAACGCTAAATATCTTAAGCGGCAGATTGATACTCAGTTCAGCGTTCTGACTCTGTGAAAGCATTGCTTTGTTTCGAGCAGAAATGAAATCACAAGTTCAGAAGAATGACTTGTGTAATCTCTCACAGTGCAGGGCTTCTCGGATGGTAGTCATCAGTGTTTTCTTCCTCATCGC